GAGAGAGAGAGAGAGAGAGAGAGAGAGAGAGAGAGAGAGAGAGAGATGTGGAAAGAAGGCCGTACATGCTCGATGTTGGCAGCTCTCACTAGATTGCGGTGGTGTACATCCAGCAGAAGAGAAATGGGTTGTAGTTGTGTATGGCTCCCGCGGGAAGCTGCCTTGCGTGCAGCAAGAACTGTGAGACTACGTAGGTTTGTCTATTGTGGCATCTCAATGTTCTGAGCTTATCCTTTGGCTGATCTGCACCACCATCTTCTTTTATTGAATTGAGAAATCCGTTGCGGTTTGGAGGCTCTTGACAGACACCCATTTCTTTGCCGTCTCCTCTGCCTTCTGTCCTCACCTCCTTGGCCTCCAAACCTCCGCCCTCTTCCGCCCAATCCCCCCAGCCCCACCCCCCGGCAACCACCCGCTGCACTCTACATTGCATGACGACTCCTATAAAACCAGTTTACCCTTGCCCGTCTTTTTTGCCCCCCCCCTCCCCAAAAACCGGTTGACCCTAGTTACAGTTGCTCTGCAGGTTTTGGATTTTGGACTAAGATAGTCCTTCACAATAAACCTTACCTCCTCATTTAATTCCGATAACAGGTCTATCGATTTACGTGATCTCTTTTTTTGTGTGTCGATTTCATCAGGTCTATGTCTACCTATTTACGTTATCTCTTTTTTTGTGTGTCGATTTCATCAGGTCTATGTACTTGCAGTCATCGTACCTTTTCGCACTAGATAGTTTATAGAAGGATGGAATGTATGTGTCAGTGTTGACGTAGCCAGAAAGCCCCTTTTTTTTTTTTCTTTTTTTTTTTTGGCATTGTAATCGGAAAGAATCCTTCCTATCCGGTTATGTGGACCGAAAGTTACACAGTTGATTATCGTGTTTTCCGAATGGAGGAATGCTCCGGAATTGAACGATCCTTTGAAGGCCCTGACTGGTCTTCATGGCGAAAGGCGGGCGAAAAAGGAAGGATGTGGGATGCTCGGATGGTTGCACCAGTAGTAGTGGTCCCCTGGTGTTGCCCTGGGAATTGGCAGGGCCTGCCTGTTGTGTTCAGTTTGCGATCTTCGTTGTGCTGTGTTGCCCGTGTTTCTCTCTCTCTCTCTCTCTCTCTCTCTCTCTCTCTCTCTCTCTCTCTCTCTCTCTCTCTCTCTCTCTCTCTCT